TTGAAATAGAAATAATTTTTAACATTATAAATATATTTACTCTTGATCAATTTAATGCATCCTTGATAAATAAAAGTAAAAATGTCTTTCTTTAAAAAAACATCTTACTGACCCTAAAATTTTGATTACAACACTTGTAATCAAATCTATACATGCGTAACAAACAGTTCAATGTTGTTAAAACTGGACTATTTTAGGCCATCCTTAAAAATATTCTTGTTTGCCGTAACCCGACCGACCCTGTCAAATTAGGACCGACCCAATTATTTATTTTTTTCCCCTTTTAGTCCGACCGACTTGCCGGTTGTAAACTTGCATTAACCGACCGATTTTTTTTTTACTCTTCAAACAACTAATACAAATGCAATAAAATAATATACATTTATTATAGTAAGTATTGTGAATATAAATTGCGTAGGCTACGTTCTTTCTTTTAAATAAAAACCCGTGGCGTCATCTATTATGATTATGTTTACACCATTGGTTTACGCATGTCACACTATGGCCTGTGCGTTCGCTTCGTTTCATTCACTGTCAATGGTTCGCGCTCGGTGATGACTGCGGCGCGGCTGCTTGTGAAATACGTCTGTATGAGCCTACATTTAGTCGCTCATTATTCGAAATTCTTAATGGTCAAATAGGGAATCGATGTTAACGGCCTTTTCTCGGAGCGCGTCCAGCTCGTCATGACATGCCCACCGCGAACGCGCGTCACACAGCAACTGCAGGCTCTGACAAACAAACACACATAAGTGTGGGAAGCCAAACACACCGAAAGGGGGACGAAACGGCGCGGTGTGTTACAGAGTTCGCGCTGCGCTGACTTGTAATCTGCGTGGCTCAATGGACAGAGACGCGCGAGCGCGACAGACTCGACAGCGCAGGAGAAGTGTTTGCTTGCGCCAGCCAATGGTCAGAGCGGCGGGAACTAATCTCACCAGCGCCACGCTGACCAATAAAACAGCACATCCCATACCGAAATGTACTAAATTGCACAAAAGAAAATCGACCATTCCATAATGTGTCAGGACTACTTAATCGGCCTATAGTTTCCTACAATGCGCCTAGCTATTTGACCACACTGATTTCCGTTAATAATAGCAGATGTTTATGGGTCAAATCTCTCACTCTCTCCCTGCAACTTTTTGTTACCCTCCTTTCCTGCCCCTAGACCAGAAAGGGGGCTTGTAACAGTATGGGTCAAATGTAAACGAATGGTGCCAAACGCGCTGTTTTATTGGTCGGCGCGGCGCTGGTGAGATTAGTCATTTTAATTTATTTGTTTCCCTCTGAAAATCCACTTTCATTGAAATCTAGTGGCTCCTTTTGTTTTTATTTTTTTTAATCTGCCTATTTTTTTCCAAATGAATGCAGCTGTAATTAATGCAATAAATATGTTTTTTTTTTACAAAGATTTCAAATTGTTTGTGGTCTATAACCTGTATCAGAATGAGGTTCGCAATGGTGCGCCCGAAGGCATGGGTTGAAGACACAGTCAGTGACGTCACGATATGCAAATTTGTTTAAATTCATACCGACCTAATCACCATGACCAAAATTATCCTTTTTTTTTTACATTGAATCTTGAAAAAAAAAAATATAGACCTACCTACCGACCCTTTTTTTTTTTTTTTTTGCTGTTACTGCAAACCAAAATATTTTTAAGGATGGCCTTACCTTACATTTGTGTATGCTATGTATTTTTGTTTACTTGACTATTGCGTTTTTACCTTGGCTACATGTTAACGGCAAACTATTGAAATCAATTCGAGTCTGAGCATATATATTTGAATGACGAACTGCCTACATATAACTGCTTCAAATCAATCACAAGGCTCAATTTCTGTTAGCATGTTCATCGGCTAAGTGTTGTCACAGTGTGACCTTCACCTCACATCTTTAGATTACTCTAGTTATTGTACCCAAACACAGTGGCTGTTAAACCGAATCATAGAGGCCCTGACATCAAAAATTTTGATTAGTGATTGAATCTATATAATTATCTGATACATAGCTTCTGTCAAGTAAATAACATCCCTTTTCAGACAGAACAAGAGGCAGCATTTAACACCAGGTCTGGGTTTTTAATGTGGCTGGAAATTGCTTGAAAGTGGCAAAATTGAGTCTCTTTTTTTCTGGAAAACATTTCAGAATGGTGTTGAATGCCTCAGGCGTCCAAGCTAAAGGAAATCCAGAGTTGTTAAGCCACAATTTACAATCACTCTTGCAGGGCTCACTCTGATTTCCTTTTTTAAAGAAATAAACACTGTGTTTTTTCATACTTCTGCTTTTGTTATTCGTGTGTGCAGTGATCGATTTTCCATACCGTGCTGTGATAAATTCGTCCGTTGACTCGTGTCACAGTAAAAGACAATATTAGAGGAATCTGTTAGGTGGCGTAGTCAGTTCTCACAGGCAAAAACAAAGAATGAAGCGTGCTTTTGCTGCTGGCTTTCTGTGCAGACACTGAGTTATACAGGCTCTAATATTTTAATGAGTATGTTGAATGAGCACGTCCTCTCCTATGCCATGTCTCAGTGTGAGGATCATGAATAAGTCAGGATTCTGTCTGCTTTCTGAGGCATTTAGCAACACAAGCCATTTATGAAATCTTTCGTAAATTCACTTAAGCAGAAACAATTGAATGTGTACTTCAGTGTACTTTACCAGTCGATGCTATGGATTGAGGAAAAAGAAAACATTACCATTTTTCTGGGAGGATGTTTTAGAAGGTGATATTAATTGACAAGTGTGAGATGGAAAGCTTGTAACCTGCCATGGAGTAGCAAAGGGAAATTTCACTTTCTTCTTGCAGATCCAAGGACACTCACCACAAAGGCCCTGAAATAAACGGCGTGGTAATGAAAAACGACAACAAAAGTGTCAGTTGTTTGTCTGGAAGACTCACTGTGTTTACGGACTCTGCGACTCTCCTGTTGGAGGGGTTCCAGGGAATCAATGCTTAATTCTAATAAAAAACTCTGAGGTTCCTTTTGATCTTCTGCCATTTCTGTACTCTTAAAAAGCATTAATACTTTTTTTCTGACGCACTTGAAATAAGTTCGATCCTAAGCCCAGAAATGTATAAAGACAAGTCTGGAGCTGAATCAAAGTGTCGTAAAGAGGTCTCCAAGAGTGTTTTGTGTAGAACTCTCAATAAGAGATTTCTATTGGTCCAAATACTATGTGCTTCCTTTGAATATATCTTTGATATATACGGTATTGATAAACTGCGGGCTTTTATTCTTTTAAAAATGAAGAGAGAATGAAAGAGATTTTGTCTTGAAAAAAGATGTTGCATTACCCATTAGTCTTTGATTTTGTGTACATCATCCTTGGAAAAGACGTAACCTCCCCCCCATTTAATTCTCTAATATTGATCCCATATGTGAACTTTGTTGTTCAGTCTAGTGTTGTCAAAAAACCCAGATATTTCGGTATGTATCGATACTGAAATATCTGAAACGGTTCCAATACTCCTTTTCTGCAGTACCGATACACCGATACCACCTGCGCGTTCTCGGTCTCATCTCTCTGACAGCGAATTGATACTCACCCGCCTCCTCTCTCACTCATCTCATTTGCTCCCGTTGAATAGTGCTTGTATTGCGCATAATTTTAGTCATTTATCACAGGTTTCGCGCTCGCACCTAAAGCGCGTACAACTGATCTCTTATAAAGCCGGCTCTCAAACAGCTCGCGAGTACCAAATTGACTTTTTTCATGGCTTATCGTGCTTAAACAGTCAAATGCATTCAGAATTATGTCAAAATGTCGGTCCTGCCTAAGTATTCAGATAAATACAGTCAGTTTTGGAACGTAAATAGTTTAGAGAAAATGCATGTTGTGTAACAGTATATTGGATCTGTGCATAAGCCTTTAAAGTGACAGCAGCCTAATATTCCTGATGCTGTCTGTCATGTTAATCAAAGAACAAAAGACAAAGAGAAAATCACTTGCTCCTCTTGACTGAATAACTTTTGTAATTTGAATTGTAAGCATTAATCTGTATTTAATTTTTATAATAAAAATGATCTTGTGTTATGTTACTGTACTTTTGATTTTCTGTAGTATTCTTTTACCCAAATATACTGTAAAACCCACCTGAAAAACTTAAAGCCATGTTTCTTTCATTTGTTTCTTTATTCTATTTGATTTATTTGTGCTATCGTTTGCAATTTGTTTTTGTTCTTTTATTGCTAATTTGTTGTCTTAAAAAAAGAGAAAAAAAGCTAGTTCAACTATTTAAATAAAGTTTTTCTGTGCTGTGAAAGCTATTACAACAAAATTACCCCCCCCCCCCCCCCCCCCAAAAAAAATGTAGATAATAACAAATAATCTGTATGCTGGTATATGACACAGTTTCCCCTGTGGTATCGAAATTTGTATCAAATATCAATATTTTTCAAGTTATCATATCGATTTTGGAAATTCCGGTATCGTGACAACACTAGTTCAGTCAAGATCTTAGTAGGTTGGAAAAAATAATGTTTTGAAACCGCTTGACGGTCTAATTGTCTGAGTTTATATATAGATTAGTATCCACTTGGACTGAATGAAAGGCCTGATGAAGAGGGTATGACTATCCGCTCCATTATCTCTCGAGGGTCTTTTCTCCACTCTGAACCTTTGCCTTTCTGTCTTTTCAAAAAGCACTCCTAATCAAGTTAAATTTGATCCCATTCTCTACATGAATGTAGCCTGGGTTTCCCCATACTGCCTTGCCGCAGCGCGATAATGATTGATCTGTTCATTTGCCCAGAAATCTGGATGCAATCAATAGACTAAAACAAAGTTATTTACATTTTGATTCTAGTTTGAATCACGTTTGGAATTGATATTTTTATTGCATTAAATGCTGATGTATTGCATTCTATGCACATTCATTTGCCAATATATGTTGGAAATAATACATTTTTTCTGTGGATTTTCTTGTATCATTACCCCAAAATTCAGACTGTTTCTTGCTCAAAGAAATTGTTTTCTCATGATCTTTCCAGGGAGCAGCGGCCGATGTCTCTCTGTCTGTCTCGTGATGATGAAACTTTGGCCGGGCTGGAGGCGTTGCCGTTCAGGCTGATGCAGCAGGACTGCACAGCGGTAAAGACTCTTCTGCTGCGGTTACGCAGGACCCTGCAGGAGGTAATGTTCACACTGACAGTTGATTCATGAAGCTGCTATGGCCTTCATCACGGGTACATTAGAACAGGTAGAATAGCACTCCGTGCCCTGCCAGTTTCATGCCTCATCATTCAGGGCCAACACCAGGAGGATATCACACTCAAAAGAGCCACATTCAGTCAGTAAGTAGACCTTAGAGTAGAGTAGACGCCATACTTGCTGTGACATGAATGAAAACAAGGCTGTGAGGGGTAGAAAAATGTGTTGATTTGTTCAGCCAGTGAAAACATTACAATAAGTACTTCTGTACAGGTCTAATATCATTTGTTTGCAGATTATTTTATTTTTTTGCTATGTACGTTTTGGATGGACTTTTTATATTTTTAAATTGAATGTTTTTGATAGAAATGTATTGGTTACAGGCCTATATTTTATTGATATTTATATTTTTGATCAGTATCGGTTTATTGTGCATTTAATTGTACGTGGAAATTCCCCCTTTTTATATTTAATTACTTAATTTTGTTTTTATTTTAATAAAATAAAATGCACTAATATGATGCTTTTAAATGTAATATTGATCTAAATTCACTTGTAATAAATTGTAATTTATTCTATTTTTTTAATGGTTTTAAAGGGACACTAACTTTTTTTTTGTTCAAATGAGTAAATTTAGATTAACTTGTTTTTGTCTTACCCTGATTTACTATGCTAAGCCTATTATAACTGTACGTTCACACCGCCGCCGACTTGAGCGGCAAAGAAGCTCTGGCCGCCCTGTCAAGGACGCTTGTCAAAAAGTACGGGGAAGCTTGTTGACGCTGTGGACGCTTTGAACGTTCTGATGTTTCAGGGAGAATAGAAATGTCACAACATGAAATGTAATAAACGGAAAAAAATAAGCAATACATTGAAGAAACCTTTTATAATGACAGCATTTTTATAACCGTTTTGGTCACATTTGGTTGGGAAAAAAAGAATAGTTAGCTATTATTATTATTATTTGCGGTCAAATCGGTGTCACCGTGAGCAAATGAATTGCATTCCCGCTTTGAAACGAGCATTCGTAAATATTTCAAATAAAAGTTGCGCTCATGCGGTCCCTATAAGCAAACAACGTCATGTCATAAATGATAGGAAACCCAGCAACAGTGATTATTAGCTTCTGTTCCATTTTCTCGGAACTAATGTTTTAGTAGGAACAAAAGTTTACATTGTATGTTTCTCCGGAATCAGCCAGCGCGAAAGACGTCTATATTCCGATTGGTTGCTGGCGTTTTGCCGCTGCTTGCCGCTGAACCGCGTCACAGCTCATTACCATAAACTTGAGCTTCTTTCAACTTTCTGATTGGCGCTCAAAACGCTACGCCGATGGATTTGACGCTCCTTGCAGCTGAGAAAAGCCAGCTTCCATTGAAAATGAATGACTTCCGGCCACTTTGGAAGCTCAAGTCGGCATCGGTGTGAACGTACAGTAAGGGTTTATATTTTAGACCTGACAGAATGGATTCGCAGGAAATTGCATACATGCGTCACTTGCCCATGCGGGTCTCATCATATCAGTAAATAGTAGGGGTGTAACGGTACACAAAAATCACGGTTCGGTACGTACCTCGGTTTTAAAGTCACGGTTCGGTACGTTTTCGATACAGCAAAAAGTAAGAAATGCCAGAGAAATTTCCTATTTGTTAAAAGAAAAAAATATTTTTTAAATAAGTGAGTTTTCCTACATCTTGAAACTTTCAGGTTTATAAATGGGGGTCATCTTTGAAGGATGAACAAATAATGTTTTGGTCATCACATTAAAAATAACATTTAAATATATGAAGAGTTTAGATGCAAAAGCCATTTGAAATTTTCTTAGAATGATCATTTTTATCAAGCTTGTATATTTAAGTTCAGTAATTTCACTTAAATGGCAATGAAGATTGCCTATTAATTGTCATTTGAGTGAAATTACTGAACTTAAATGTACAAGCTTCATAAAAATGATCATTCTAATTTCTAGAAGAAAATTTCAAATGGCACTTATAGAGGCTTTTGCGTCTGAACTCTTCATATAGGCTATTTATTTATATAATATTTGAGTTTTGAAGTGCTGGAAAAAGATGTGTGAAGTACTTGAAAGCATTTCACTATTCCAGCCAAACTGGTTACAGTTAGTGTTACTATATTAAATCCATGGTGAATGTTGCTGGTCTGTGGACGTAAAGTATTACTAGTTCATTCACGGCACAATATGTCTCCTGGTGTCCACGTCAGCGCTGTTTGATCTAATAGAGATCTACGGTTAATAACGGAGAAATTTGAATGCTTCTCACTAGATCTCGCAGCGATGTTATTACTTCAGTGGCGAACTCAAATGTTTTCTTTACTGGATCTCTTAGCGCTGTGTTGTAACGGTTGTAACAGTGTCGCTTGATCGAGATTGGCTCCCGCTGCACAGATGTTGCTGCTCTGCTCCGAACTGATAAACGATCCGTGAAGCACAATAGCGCAGTTTCGTTCCGGTTTCATTACGCTTGCCATTTGATGTTGCGCAACGTTGTGGTGATCGCGCCAGCACGAATTTTGTCGGCAGGAAAAACCTCCGACAAACCGGAAGACTCGAACCGAAACGGTTCAATACGAATACATGTACCGTTACACCCCTAGTAAATAGAGAAAAGTTGCTCTGGCTACTTTGAAGCATTTTTGGTGTGGGAGTAGCATTAGTTAGTTAGGGGTAAGTTGACATGATGCGTTTTTATTGGCTAGTCAGTAGACGTTGGTCGTAACACACTATGAGATTATGCTACATTTCTGACACTGTCAGAAAATGATCGCAGGCTGTCTTTGGTCGTATGTCTGTGACAAAGGCCGTCTTTGAACCTCTCTCCCTGTACGACGTAGGAGCACCGTTTAGGAGCCACGATCACAGTAATCTCCAAGATTGGTCATCTTTCGTCTGGGACAGCCCAAAATCATACAATGTGTACCTTGCATTATCAGGCAATGACTTAGCAGGCAGCATTTGCTCACATACCTGGCGGTACCTGGCGAAACTGATTTCGGACAGGCTTCTGACCGGACAGCATAACGGTTTAATGATCTACAACATAATAGAACAAGCTTTGGTATAACTAAGCAAATATTTAATTTCTACAATTACTTTGTAGCAATATATTGTAGTATAATTATAATTTCTCTCTAGAAATAACATAAAAAGTGGAAAACGGTCAAAAACATACATTTACACAGACACTGACCACCAACAGCAACTTTCAGTTGCGATCTTTATTTTTTAGATCAGCTGTTACTGAATGGAATGCACAGGATTGTGGGATATCAAAGGCAGCAAATGATACATCTATGCTGCCATAAAAACACTATAAATATAAACACTATAAGTATAAATACACTAAACATTACCATACTTCCGTTTAGAATGCAGGTGTAGTCTATATAATGAATCCAAGGAACGCCATTGAGAACCACTGATTTACTGTGAAGGGTCATATTTATTTGCACATTCATGCAGACAAAGCACAACCAAAAGAATGTTCTTTCACAAAATGCATGCAGTTTTGTTTTTTAATCCCTAGAGGGCCAAAAGTTAGACAAAATAGTACAGAACTTTAAAACGGTGTCCCTACTCTTTCAGAACAATGATGAAGTGTTTTAGTTCTGTTGTGGTAGTAATAGGCAAATTTATTGAATGCTCTTTTAGTAGCAACAATAATAAAAAAAAGCTCTTGGTGTCATCCCTTACTGTTATAGTATTGCTCACCCGACTTAATTTATTGACCATAACAACCGCATTTCCATTCCACCTTCATCCAACTCGTAGCTGCATGAACTCTGTTTTACATTTACTCAAAATAACAATTGCTTTGTGAAGGTCCAGAGAACAGTGCACAACAGAGGAACATGAATATTGAAGAGGAAGTTCTTTGGCCTCTTTACTGACTCTTCTCATTAACATGCAAATTAGCCATCTTCCTTCAGCTTTTGTAAACTACAGTGTAATAAGAATCACTTGTGCATTTGGTTTTATTTGCTTGACCACAGATTAAGCATAGCCTGTTCTTTCTTTCTTTGTGTGTCTTTTGGTCATTTGATACCTCGTTTCTGACTAATTCAGGGCAGTGCAGTAAGGAGTGAGTTCAAAATGTTCCGAGTTTTTGATTCAGTCAAATGTAAACTAGTAAATGTCAAATTACCATAGATTGTCTGCTCACACTTAGTTCCTATAATAAAAAAGCTTAGACTGGTTTCAGAACTTGAGTTATGACTGTCTAACCTCAGACATTTTTGAATGTTACCTAGGCTTGAATCAAATTGCTCTTATACCTTTGAACATTTATGTACTGTATTGCCTATTGGCATTCAGAACCTGGCTTTTTTTGTTGTGTTATTATTATTTTTATTTTTTTGATGCGTCCTGCCTGGTTCATTTACATAACTATTGCATTTCCCGCCAGCAAAAACAGTTTAGATGTAGCCATGTGCATACATAATTATTTTGATAATTACTTTATATTCAGAGCAGAGATTTATATAGAACAGCAGAGATAATACTGAACAGGTTAAATTCTTAAATTACGGTTTTGCATTTTTCAGAAAATAATTTTGGCTCTACTTGTGGTGTTCTGTCATTTAGTAGTTTTTGTTTGAATGCACTGGGAATCAGCTTTAGTGAAACGTTTGTCTTGCTTTTATACCTTCTCGATTACCTCAATGTGTTTGCAGTTTTCATTACAGTCTTCTTGTCCTCTCCTTGCACTTAACATGCAGGCGTAGAAAACGCATTAATCAAAAGCAGCACATGCCGGATCAGTCTTGAATCCTTCAGTAATTATGGAGTCTGAAATGCTGCTTAAAATTCATTCATGTTTGCTGTGAAACATATACCAAAATGACATTGTAATGGTTGTGCTATTGTACCTTGTTTGAAATTTATAGACCCGGTCAAACTACTTTTATTATAATCTCCTTGTTCTCTTTTTTTTTTTTTTTTTTTTTAGTGGAGTAGCTGCATGTCATGGCCCCTCTCCACTCCCACCCACAAATATTGCTACGGAGATGCACATTACAGAGAACTGCTACTTTTTTGTGTGTTTTTTTGTTTTGATTTGGCCAAAATGGGAAGGAATAATTTTTTTTTTACATCCCCTTTAGCAGTGCAGTGTTATTTTCTTTAAACTAACCCACACTGATAAAAATAATTTTGTGGTGAAGTAAATACTACAGAAAAAAAAGAAGTAATTTCTACATGAAAAAGTTAGTTCAGGCACAAATTAAAAAGCCTAAGTAAATTCTATATTAGTACTCAATTCAAGCGTGTAGAAATTAAAGGGTAAATATCATAGTTGTAAAATTACTCAACTTTTCTGATACTGTGTTCCCATCATGCACTGGGCCTTGAATAATTAATTAGGTTTTTCACTGTTTTCCAGCTGTATGCACACTGTTTTATCATTGCTTTTGTTGTTAGGATTTGTAACTTGTCATTTTGTGACAATTGGAGTTCATTTTCTACTCAAAATGACACATTCATACAGAAAAACAATCCATCAAATGTTACCGTCATTGTGTATTGTGTACCAAGTATTGAGTTCTCTGCGTTCAGACAATGTGTTACTGCTGATATGTAGATATGGTGTCTCACACAATATCTGTTGTATTATTTACTTGGATGTTTCTAAGTAAAGCATGCACTTTAAAAGTGTAGTTTAATTCAATGTTATATTGTTTGAGTGAAATGTATTGCAAAGGAAACTTCAACTAAATAGATATTACTCAACCTTTTACTGGCCAAGTTAAAATTACTAATTTTCTTTGTTTATTTTTACTTAACTTGGTTAAGTAGAGTTACCTTAATTCCATATGTGAAATTTACTTAAATATGCGTGCAAAAACTTAGAGAAGTTAAGTAAATTTTACTTTGTTTTTTTTCAGTGCATAGGGATACACAATTTGGGCCGCCGAAAATGAGTTTTGTCCGAAAGAGGAAAAATGGCCAAAAAATATATGCCGCCACTGTTTGCAATAGCCTTACTGTGCTGTAACATGGTGTGGTATGTCAACATGGTGTGGTAAATGACGCTACCCTCTTGTTCACTGATCCTCCACTCCCTGCTATCTGCTCAAATGCTCTGATGATGATAATAGCTTTGTTGGACTATACATTATTTGGATAATTGGTCAAAAAAATAAATCTGTTAAATCTGGTTATGTTGTGTAGAACTGAATAAAGAATAATATATTTATATTTAATATTCATTTTTTATATATATTGGTCGCACTCTAGAGCCCTGGCTTTGGATAACATACTGGATACTTGTAGTCTTGGTCAGAAATGTAAAAACAGACTTCATAATACTGGCAAGTGTAGTAACCTCAGAACCAACTAATTCAGAGTCAGATGAGCAGAATATAATTTACAGTCTGTTTTAATAGTTTTCTTTTCATGTGCTCATTAAATATTAAGATGTATGATCTTTGCCTTTCAGAGCACTGAGACCAGTCCTGCCAGCAGCCTTCACTCTCTACCCATAAGCCCCTGCAGTGAGAAATCACTCCCCTTTAAGGTAATTGTCTGCATTCAGTGTTGTTGGAATGTGTTTCTTTTCTATTCATAATGTGGATGAACACATTCTTTGCTGCTGAGCCGGTATCATTGGTGGTTCACACTTTGATTTAAAAGGCTCACTTTCATTTTTTTTCTTCCCTGAAGATTTCAAAGCCCTTAGATAAAACATAATGACGGTGCTAAACGACTGCATAGAGACAGAGGTCTCTCCGTGTTATGCTGTTAATTTCCTACTCCATTGTGCCTCTCTCCTACTCCAACACTCTTTTCATTCTGGCCTCTCTCTTTGACACAATTTGAGTTACATTTTTCTCCACCATCAATGAAATTTTCCCACTATCTTGATGAGATTATTTGATTACATGCGCTGATCTTGTGGAGATGGGCTAGGGCTGTTATTGGGAGGGGTTTTTGATTTTGTTTGAGGAGCTTTTGCTTGGTAGAAGAGGATTTTGTTTTTCATCAGGACTTTTTTTCCGAATGGCTCAAAAATACTGCGAAGTGGAAATGAGGTCTGTCTTTCTCTGTCCTCCTTACTGACCTACATGGAGTGCTAACAGAAGCGGCGGTTGCGGCAGCGAATCACGTGACATTCCGGCTCATCCGTAGCCTAGCGCCACGCAGCGGGAGAGGGAGATGCTTAGAATAGGACGCCATGCATTGTGTTCAACTGACAGGAGAGGGGTGGGACTTGTCCTGATTCATTCCGTAAAAAAAAAGGAAAAAAATATCCCGATTTTAAAAATAAAGCCCTAGCACCCACCTGAGACGGAACCGTGTCACTTTTCGTCCTACTTTGAACTGAAAACTTCTCTCACCAAACATTTGTTATCCCCACCTTCTTAATAATTAGAGCCTGCGGAAAGAGTTCTCCTGCGGCGAGAGCATGGCGTCGGTTAAGGGAATAATGGAGCCTCTTGCTCTGCATCTTGGTAAAATGAGCTCGGACTGGGGTACCAAACTCATTCGTCCAGGTGTCTCTGTCAGTAATACAGTCCCTGTATTAATAACTCCTTGGTAAGTGAGTGTAGGTGTGCCCGCCACTCTGAGGGTGTCCTGTTTGAAGTTTATAACATCACAAACCTCCTTAGACAGAAATAATTGAGGACATCTATCACATTTACTCCTTTTTATGCCTTCCTTCAAAGCACATGACATGAGTGAAATAATCTGTGCTTCTCTAAACTTGTACCATTCTTAGTAATGAAACTGCCAAGAAGGGCTGGGCAATATAGCCCCCAAAAAAATAAAAATAATCTTGGGTTTTTATTTTCCTCTCTCACTTCAGCCTTTTAATGACAATGAAACTTTGCAGTTACTAATATATATATTTTAAAATGTTTTTGAAAGAACTCTCATATGTTCTCCAAGGCTATTTTATTTTATTTTATTTAATATTGAGAAATATTACCATTTAAAATATTTGTTTTCTATTTGAATATATTTTAAAATGTAAAGTATTCCTGTGATGGTAAATTGAATTTTCAGCAGCTATTTCCCCAGTCTTCAGTGTCGCATGATCCTTCAGAATATTTCAATACACTGATTTGCAATAATGATTTGCATTATGTTGAAAACATTAGTGCTACTTAATATTTAGTAAGAAAGCATGCTCGAAATTTTTTCAGGATAATTTAATGAATAGAAATTTGGAAAGAAAGAGCATTTATTTGAATTGGGTATCTTTTGTAACATTGTCATTATTTACTTTAGTAAGTATTTACTTTCAACTTTGGGCAATTTAATGCATAATTGCTGAATAAAAGTAATTATTTCTTTCCAAAAAAAAAACACAAACGTTTGAACGGTAGTGTGTTATCTTGAATTAACTTTTTCAGTGAGTGATTTTTATTTATTCCTTCTCATTTAGTGGAACTGAATTTTTTACCACACTGCCATGATATCCAATAAGATTCAGAATCAGGTAAAATACTGTTTTTAAAACAAAAATTGTTGAAAATAATCAAGCCAATTTTCCTCACTTTTTCAATTAAATTGAGGAAGCTTATCATTTATTTAGAACCAGTATAAAATATATATGGCTTCAGCATCCCAGCAAGGATGAATTGTAACAAACACAATATTTACCTAATATTCATTTAATAAATATATATTTACTAAAGCATCTAATTTGAATTTAATGAATTGAACATGCAGTAATAGCTCTAACTGAAGTTTAAATTAGATGCTATTGAAACTTCTCTGTCTTAGGAAGGATAGCAAAACTAATCTACTATGTTTCATCCAGACTTACCACCAGGATACTTTTGATTGTATTGATTGCAGTGATGTTAAGTGTTGCCTTTTATGATCAGGGCTCTGTGATAGTTGGACTTTCTCATTTATTAGGTCCTTCGTCCCCTTCTTGCCTCAAGTATTTAATCTAGGACAGACAGATGGAGGAGCCACTCAAATGCAGTTTTACAGCACGGGGTAGAGACCCAGCTCTCAGTCCTGCCCTGTGTGTGTGTGTGTGTGTGTGTGTATGCAACTGTGACCAAACACCTCTCTAGAGGTCCTCCATGGCACTGCACAGATAAAGTGCCTCTTGTTAAACCTCTATAATTAAGATATAATTAAATATTCCCCACAGGCAGGGATTTGGGGGATGTTACATTCTGCCTGTTTGCTGCATACGTTGCTCAGTGCATGACCTTTTTTTTTAATGAATAATTCGTTTTTAAATACTTTATTATTTTATGTACACTAATTCAAAAGTTTGGGGTCAGTAAGAAATTAATACTTTTTTTTCAGCAAGAATGCAGTACATTTATCAAAACTCTTAAAGAAATGCTGTTTTTAAAAAAAACTTTCTAATCATCGTAGAATCCTGAAAAATGTTAGCATGGTTTCCTCAAATATTAAGCAGCACAGCTATTTTAACATTGGTAATAATGAGAAATGTTTTTTGAGCACCAAATCAGCATATTATAATGATTTCTCAAGGATCATGACACTGAAGTAATGATGCTGAAAATTCAGCTTTGGCATCACAGAAATAAATTACATTTTAAAATATGTTCAAATAGAAAACCGTTATTTTAAATTGTAATCATATTTAACAATATTACTGTTTTTACTGCATTTTTTGATCAAATAAATGTAGTCTTGGTTAAGCACAAGACACTTCTTTACAGAAAAAAAAAACTCAAACTTTTCCACGGAAGTGTATATTTGTAGACTGCCATTCAGAAGTTTGGAATCATATAGACATTTTTATGTTGTTGAAAGAAACTGATGCTTCTGTTTAGCCAATGTAGAATTTCATTCAATTTCAGAAATAGTCAAAAGTACATTTTGGTATTTAAGACACTGCTCAATGAAGTGTAGAAATTGCAATACAATGACTTTACTTGCCTAACTCTTTCTTGCAAGTGTACACCAACTCGAAAGTGTAAGTCAAATGTTAGTTTCAAAATGTCTAGACAAAAAAGAAGAATATCTCATTAATTTGAGGGATGAATGCTGTTTCATGCACAATGGTCTCGACAAAAGAAAGCAGGCCGTATCTAACCAGGACAGAGATAGAAGTGAACAGCCCTGCTCCACAACAACAAGAGGACAAGTACATCAGAGCCTCTAGTTTGGGAAACAACCCCCTCACTGGTGCTCAGCTGGATGCTTCATTGAACAGTGCTCACTAAACACCAGCTTCAATTGGAACAGTGAAGGCAAGACTTTTAGATGCTGCTGGCCTTTAAGCACAGTTTCAAAGAAAAATATACATCTGAAACTGGCAAATAAGAAGAAAAAGTAGAATGGGCAAAAGAAAGAAAAGATTCAATGGTAAACAGTTTGAAATGAATGTTAAGTTCTGTGGGAAGAAAGAAGAGTTTGAAACTTCACCTCAAAGTCTTATCAAACTGAGTGTTAGAAGGCAGAAGGTCTGCCATTTGCAACACAAGGAAGATTCTTTGATTCATGAAACATTCTTAAGAATAAATTTTGCCTTAACTGCTATTTTCTTATTTTTTAACTTAAATGTTTTTTGGGGAGAAAAAAAATATCTGTAACTTTATTCTTAAGAAAGCTCTCATCTTTTTCTTTTTCTTGTTCTAAAGACAAAACTTTGTTTGAAGAAATAGACATGCACTGCAGCACATTAAAAAAAAAAACCTGACTGAGTGTTGAACTCCAAGTCAGTCGTGATGAAAATAATGTGTGCTCTTATTATGTCATCACGATAATCTGCAGGCAGCCGGACAAGATTGTCTTTTAGGTGGTTTTCATTGAGTTGATTCATCTTTGGCAAGAACATCTAAAAGACAAATATTTGTGAACTTCTGAACAGTTTTTCAAGAATTGCACTTATGAACATTACTACAAGCTTATTAGAATTGATCTTAAGAAATGTCCTAATGAATCCTTGAGGTATAAAAGCATAAAATTAAAATAAAAAAGTTTCATAGTGATTCCAAACCTTTGAATGGTAGCCTACCTAGTAGGTCTGTTTTTCACTTACAGTAATGTTTTTTATTTCAAAAGTGACTCATGGTAATAATGGCCATTTTAGTATTGTAATCATATTAATGACAGTTAATGGCCATTACTACTGTACAAAGATAAATGAAATCCAGTATAATTTGAGTTCAAAGGAACACATTCTTGTTTAGTAGCGATGAAGATATACTTGAGCCTGACAGTCTTGTAGGTACAAAGCGAGCGATTCTAGTTAGTCGCTGTGTCATCATCATCTCCAGGCAGAAATTAGCTTCTTTTACAGAGGAGCATCAAAGATTGACAACAGCTCCCTTGAGATTTTTATGTCAACAAAAGGAGAGCATTCAAACCAAAGCCAAAGAGCTTTGAACAACGATGTCTCCAAGTACGTGACATTGAAGCTCATAATCCCCTTCCTTGATCTCTCATGAAGGGCTCCGACTCATGCATATCGTGTCCGACTTCCTCATGCCAGCGCAGTCTAATCTCCACCGAGTGCTTCTTTTAGAGGAGTGCTATCATTTTTGTGGGTGGCGGTTCTTTTCGGTCATTCAGTGGAGGCCATCCTCTGCTCCTGGGCCTCTCGGTCCTCCTCTGCTGCCCTTCAAGCCTCAGTCCCTCCCTCCCCTCCCCCAGCCTCACATAATGGATGCTGACAGCACAAGGTCGTGGGAAAGTGCCTGCTAGTTCAGGTGAAGTTTATGGAGGAGAGTGAAACCACGGCATAGAAAACACACCTCCACCTCTCAACCGCGGCAGTTTTACACCCACACACGAGGCTGCAGATTCAAACTGGGGGCGATGGCTTGAATAACACAGACTGACTTTTTTTTTTTTTTTTTTTTTTTACCGTGTTTGTGTGTGCTTTGTATGCAGGATCCTGTGAGAGAAGAGAACCAGTTCCTACAACAGCAGCTGAAGGAGAAAGACGAGCTCATTGTACGACTCCAGACTGAATTGGTGAGAGAACCTGACGAGTTCAATGTAACATTTCATAACTGCAAGTTTCATAACCAAGTGTCACGATTGCAAAAACAGGTTCTATTGCTCCATTGTCTTTAGAATACCATAATTTCTAGGGCTGTCAACTTTAGTCGTTTAGTCGACTAATCGGTCGATGCCGTCTTGGTCGACTGACATTCTTATTGGTCGACCAGTTGCATTTTTTTTTTTTTTTACCAATAGAAAGAAATTTTCAATGATTTACTCCTTGATATTTATTCCTTTATAAGCAGTTATATATTACTGTATTCTAAATATAATTAGCCTATGGTTTATCCCCAACTTCAAATGCTTTAATTTAGGCTATTTTGTAACAGCGCCACAGTTTAGCGCACACACGTAGAACACTCGGTTCGCACCTGTGGCTGGCTGCGCTGCTGCTTCGTGCTCAGTTAGGGATATAGGTAGTTTAGCTGTATTCATTCAGTTAGAATGCTACTTGTTTCGGTTTTTATGTTTTTATAAACTATAATGTTTTTATCTCGATGCGGCGTGGACGCACTTGGGAAAAAAAAGAGCGCGTCGCACCGCGACGGCGTTGCTTCCATCATGAGCGCGCACACCGCGCGCCTACATTTGACGTGAGCGCGCAAAAGACGTGAGCAGTCCCTTTAACGGGTTTATCATGCTGACTCAATAGATTGTGTTTTCTTGATATGTTTTTGTTTTTATTTGTACACTTGACGCATTTGAAAATAGCCTAAATAATGTAACAAAACGAAAATAAACCTATTTATTTTAAACCTATTTTAAACCTATGTCCTACAATACAGCCTATTATTATTAGGATTGTTTTTAGGCTCTTTGGGTTTTTTTGTGTGTTTGTTTTAAAACGCCTAGATCGGCTGGACAAAAGTTAACCCATAGCTTTGAAAGTAAAGAAGAATATACAGCCTGTATAAACGAGAGCTTTTGTTAGGATTTTGATCATTGTGGCAGATAGCAGTTATATTTTTTGTAGCGTGTGGTGTGGTCAGGTGCGCGATTGTGACTGTTACTTACTATAGACCTAGGACAGTGCTCCTCACTTTTTGCAGTTAAAAAAAATCACTTAATTTTCAAAGAATTGTATTATTATTATAGTTGTATGTATTTTTGATGTTTTTTCATTGTTGTTTTATAAATGCTCTATGAAATTGTTAAAAAATGTTCAATCAAAACATCGTCTTTTTTTTCTTTCTTTTTTTGTCGACTAATCGTTGCGCAGGACAAGACTTTGGTCGACTAAGGATTTCTTTGGTTGACTACAGCCCTAATAATTTCGTTCGCTTATTTGAGAGTTTGCATTAACATCCTGTTGGTTTCATGTCCTTACCCTCTCCCAAGGCTCGTGTTAGGAAGTTATGGAGATGCCGCTCGGCAGTTTCCTTTGAACTGGGACGATATTTGATAGACTCACTTAACGTGCAGTAAACAGCTCGTCGCATGCTTTACATGCACTGTGAGACGCATAATGTTCACGGTCCCAGCAGCTAGAGCAGAGACGAGTGAAGGAGAAATGTGACAGGTCCATCGCAGATTTATAGACTAGTGGTCCTGAAAAGAGGGGTGGGATGGCGTGATATGCACAGAGGAGGGGGCAGGACGAATTAAAACAATAGAGGGCAGTAAAGAGGCTGTAAAAGCAAAAGGACAAACAAAGCACATGATGTTTTAAACAATTCATGACTGATTTATTTTGTGTGTCATTTCTAGCAGTCTTTTCTAATTAGAAATATGAATGAAAACTGAGCATGTTAGCAATACTAAAATAACACTGATCTCAAAGGCCTCCCTAAACTGTCCACACTGCTATTTGTAGTCACCGCATCGCATTAAGTCGAGTTCAGGAAATCGCCAGCTCTCTTTGAAAACTAATGACTTCAGGACGCTTTGGAGCTGCTAATCTCAGTGTGAGATTGTGTGAAGTGAATACACCTTTATTCTTTCAGCTGCAGCTCTGCATTACTAGTTTAAACGTTCTCCATACTTGCTGATCGCTGTCTAGATGTTCAATGAAAAGATTGCAAGTTTGACTTTCACTCAGTCTGTAGAGGTTTGAATTGATGTTGTCCTTATCTGTCTTCTCTTCGAGAACTGAATTCAGAAAATGTGCTCCCAATAGTGTTAAGCACGTCTCTGAAGGTCACAGTCTTTTTCTCAGAGAAAACAGTCTGTTGGTAAATATCACTGTGCTCACTGAAGTTTCTCTGCTCCATAAGAGCCCAGTGACTCAAACTGCGGTGGTTGTTTAATCTCCTGTAAAGCATGTGTACTGAAAAGATGCAAACGCATGCATAATGTGGCATCCAGATGACGAAATCGGAATAAACTAAATTCTTGACCATTGACATCATCACTTTACAGATTCTGCGTCCCAGAGACCTCCACTCTATTTTTAGCGGGAATAGAACCTGCGGCCACAATGGCTTAATAAATCCTGGCAAAAGCTCGTAAAATAATACTCACTGGTGAAACTGGCAGCCTGCTGGCTTAGCTCGTCTTTGTCAATTTTTACTGTCTTTATTGAATGTCATTAATGAAGTATGGCTGCCCTAAATTTTGCTGCACCATATTTCTTATTTTATTAGTCTGCCATTCTGCCACGTTCTAGAGGGTGGGTGTTTGATATTCCCAGTCAAGACTGAATGTACAATCAGAGGGTCATTATCATGCAATAAGCCTGGGCTTATTAAAAATATTGCATAATAATGACCGACTGACTGTACAATATTCCACATGGCTACTGAAGAAATATATAAAGGGCAGTACAGTACTTTATATAGTTTTTATTCATTTAAAAATTGTAATAAATTTTCACTTTATATATATATATATATATATATATATATAAATCACTTTTTAGAATTATTGATTTATTTATTATAAATATATATTTTTTAATAATATTTCATAATATTTTTGGTTACAAATAGACCTTTTATTAATTTATGTTTATAAATAAAATAAATGAATACGTATTTACAAATAAACAAATAAGTATTCTATTGTTAAACTATCATTTTGAAATAAAAATTACATTTTAAATGTACTTATTTATCATTTTACTTTTTTTTTTTTTTGGTGAATAAATGTAATATTTGATTCCTTGATTTTATTTGTGAGTGGCACTCCTAGTCATCCATACAGTTAAGCATTCAATATATAACTTGACTGCAGGATGCTGAGATTGACCAATCAGGATCAAGTATTCCAGAGAACTGTTTTATGTCGTAACTGTAATGCTATGGCACTCTTTTCTGATACATACATCTTTTTAACAGGAATCTACCCGTGCTGCTCAGAAATCTCTTTGCCAAAAAGCTGACAAAAGCACTCAGACAGATTTCTTACTCTCAGAGGTGAGTACCCATTAAAGCACCGTATGAAAGCTCCTGACGACACTGCTAATGTTCTGAGGTCATTGAGCTGTGTCTGGTTTTTCTAATTGAATACAGGTCTCCACATCTGTCTTTTTATTTCACTGACTTTTAATAGTAAAGGGCACTGAAAGTTGATTTTGAACCCTTATAGTGAGAATGTGGTTTCAGATTTCAACAACACTTTTAGCTAACGATTTGCTTAATCATGTTGTCCGCTGCCCTTTCGATAGGTTGACTGCCCTCCTTTCCCCCACCCATCGAGTAATTGCCTTCCTCCTTTTTTTGTTTTTATTATTAATTTTAGATGAAATCTAGGTGTTTTCTTGTTCCCACAGGCACCTTTTAATGGCTCAGACACACAAAACAAACGATGATGCTATATTGCAGTGAGTCAGCAAACTGTGTTCAAGTGCTGCAAACTTTAAATGACTCATTAACAGAGATTAATGCACCAGAGATATTAAAGCATTGGAGACAAAACCCAGCCTTTAAACAGTCTTCTCCCTTTCGCTTGCAACATTTAATCAAACCAAGAGCAAAAGACGTTTGATCGATTATGAAAAGCTGTTGGCACATTCTTAAGAGATGCCCTTCTAGTTACAAATCTGTTTGTGTTTTTTCAGCATTTGTGATGAGCATGTTATGAATGATAGTTGAGAAGCATGACCGAGATTTTCTTTACAGATTTCTGTCATGTATTCTGTGCCCTCGCAGTGCCCGCATCAGTATGCCTTTAGTCCCTTTACACTGAAATAGATTTCAGTTGGTCTCCTGTGGAGACATGGTCCATTTTCCCCCTGGCATTTAACATCTCTCCAGACATTGTGCTTTGTATTACCGTTAATATGCATATGTGATGTGAATTCAGACGGCTTTTTCAAATTGCTTGACAATCCATTCCACAGCTATTGCGGCACTAATGCGTCACAGCTCCATCAGACCTTGGCGTTGATGAAAAGTGCTGTAAAAAGCTGAAATGTTAGAAAGAGTGCTCATTATGGAGCTGTTGCATTAGATAAGCGGCATTTTCGTGGTAGGCCTGCGTCTTTTTGCTGCCTAGCCAAAATCGGCGTGGAAATGGTCGCGTGGGAGGATGTGGGAGAATCATCTTCCTGTCTACCTCAGATGTGCCGGCAATGGATGAGCACAGAGAGGAACTGCACATGCATGAGCACGAGACCCTCAGGCTTTCTGAACGCAACGCACACCATCATTCTTTCCTCCCGCTCAACAAGAGATGAGTTCTGCATTTCCACCCTGCCCTATGTAGACTACACTATATGGGTTACTGCATTGAGGACACGCAAATATCCGAAAGTGTGTCTACAAGTGGGTCAGCTATTTCGAAGGCTGCTTCAACTGGAGGAGGTCATCTGTTTCCTTTTTTTACCCTCGTTCTTTCTCTCTCTTTTTTTTTCTGGAGCACCCTGCTTCTCTCTCCAGCTGAGCTAATTAGCTGAAAGTGAGAGGAAGAGTGCCCTCTGTTGAGTCACAGTGCACCAGGGGGGCCAGACTGGCCTCTTTCGGTAGCGCCGGACACCGTTCCTACGTGGTTCTCACGGCCACTAACTTCTCAAAGTCCTCTCCGCAGAGTTGGCCTGATGCGCAACAGGAAGGGGGAGGTTCGTACGGAGGGGCTCCTGTCAGGACAAAGAGAGGCCAGCCTGCTCATCTGTCCAAAGAGCATGAGAAATGATGTGTAGAATGGCAGAGTGATGTATAATGCTCATGTGAAGCACACATTCCATGATCATTGGCTAGACTGAGCACTGTTGCCTACACATTACTCAAATTCAATGGCATAAGCATTAACTAAACAACATAAAATGTTACATTAAACGCACTAAAGTAAATGGCTGATAAAAGTATAAAATACTTAGAATAAACATAATTTTACTGTAGAAATTTCAGTTACGTTCCATATTTTTTTTACTTTTTTAATTCTAAACTCAAGAATGCTTTTGTGTGACCAAACACCATTGATATCAAATTGTCAATTTGTGTAGTCCATACTACCTTTTATAGTCATGAAAGTTGTACAGACGGCTTTTTTTGTCTTATAAGCTTATTAGCTTATTGTCACTCTTAGCTGTGCCATATTTATATGAAAATCTATATTTTGAAAAAGTTAAATTGTCAATTCATTTAAAGGGGAAATCAAAATGTCCTTGATCTTTTGACGTAAGAGGTCATTGTAGTGTAAAAATATCCTGTAATTTTCAGAACTCAACTTTTTTGTTAGTCCAAAAAACGCTTTTATTGAATCCAAGCTCAGAAACCGACTCGTTTGGAATTGTCACATTTTGACGTAATAGTGCGGCGAAAGACCACCTTTGAAACATCAAATCAACGCCTACTTCTACATCATTATGTCTTTGGCCCCGCCCACTGGCAAGTATAATTTGATGAGAAGAGAAGAGAGATATGGGATCACTGGACTAAAAATAACATCACCTTCCCAAGGATCCTAATGCTAGCAAAGTGGTTATTTATTTTCAACTATGTGAATGTCTCAGTTGAGCATTATTTGTTTGCTCGGTACATTTCACAGTAGATCTTTGGTAAATCAGTCGCATTTCGGCGCAGGCTTTTGCAAATAGTCTTTTACTGTAAGATTCATGCACAGTCAGACGTTATTTGTCTCAAAATCGTTTATTGCTGTTTATGCGTTAGTAAATCAAGCCAGTGACTAAATTATCTTCATATTGTTTCTCTTAGTGGCATGAAAATAATTTGTGATTTAAATAATATACAGAAAGCAATCAAAGAACGCTCCCTTTATAATGACTGGAGCTGTCAATCAATCCAGTTTATCAATGACTGAGTTCTGGATTCTCTCCAAAACTCCTGTTACAATCAGTGACGCTGTCTACACTCTTATTTACATCATGTTTGAACTGTTAGTTATGATGAAAGCATTTGTGAGAGAGCAGAAATTAAGCTGCAATGACAAGATCACAGTATTCATGCGCTCAACAGACATGTCTGACATCGGCTACGATGCTTAGCTGCAACCTTTCATGCCAGGGGAGTAGATCTAAGTAAATATAATGCTATAATTAGCGGTTTTCACGATTAGTTCATCTTGACAGTTGTAATAGTAAAAAACGTACTAAAAAAGTACTTGAGTTCCACATGTAATACTTATTTCATATGCAAAATGTTAGTCAATGATAGCGGTGGGCGTTTACATTGAAGTCTCACAGCAGACACACCCCTTCAAACAGATCGTTCAAATCAGAGGGCTCAAATCAGGTTAAAAAATTGATTTCAAAATTATGACAGTTTGCTGTAAAAATCATAGTAACATTATAAGTGCACCTCAGGAAACACTATAAAAAAAAATGCAGTTCATGACCCATTTAAAAGTTCTTATGATGGTAATATTATTTTTACTTTTATTTTTTTCCCCCATTATGATTTCAAAAAGGATTCTCTGTAGGTTTTTAATGCAACACTTCAGAATGATTTTGTTTTTGTTGTTCATAAGCCTGTATCATTGTCACATCGAAACCTGATGAAAGGCCCATTCTTTCCCCGTCTGTACAAAGCCTCACTGCGTCGTTATGTCTGTTTACTTTGCTTTATTATGCCAGTCTAAGCCTGTTAATATTAAGCTCTGCCCTCCACACTGCCGTTCAGCCATTTAAATGAAAAAGCACTTAAGAGCTCATTTACTCTGGCATTCCTCCCTTCCGTAGCCGAGATATGAAGTTTTATGGATTAGCTTCTGTTTTGTGTTATTTCCCTTCCAGTCATAAATCTTTTTTATTGAAGTGACAGTTCTTATTAAATTGCTTGAATATTTAGCAAAATGGAAACCCTTGCAGCCAGAATAAGTCGTTTTTGATGCTTGCCCAAACAGTTGGATCTATAACAGCGAGGGAGATTGATCAGTGGTCAGCTCCGTATAGCTGGAGGACACCTGTTAATGGAACATACCGGACATCTCCCACTGCTCTATTTTTCAGCTCTCCAGCCAACCCTGCTGAGAGGCTTTTTGCATTTCAAGCCTGTTTCATGAGCACCGAAAACGTTTCAGGCATCTCTTTATTTTTCCAATTCATTTTGGTATGCTTATTTATTTATTTAGATTCATTTGCGCATGAGGGGGTCGCCCTGTCTCTCAGAGTCATGCTGCGGCCCATCTGATCACACTGTGTGGGGGACCTGTTATGCTAAACTCCCAACTTCATTGCTCAAGCCTGCTTGCTTTTCTCTCTGCATGGGTCAGAGTGTGAGCACTGAGCCTCACAGAATGACACGCCTGCTGAGCGGTAATCGTTACCTTTCTTTTGTACGTGATCAATGAAGTTTGAAGAGCTATTGGTTGCCATTTCTTGCTGGCTTTTTTGTTTCAATTTGATTTGATTGAGAGAAAAAAAGCAAGCCGATAAAACAATTAACACAATTAATCATGTTATTCATGTTTTTCTATAATTGGAACAGTACTGACTCTTGTCTGTTTAATGAATCGTTTGAAAAGACTCACAAACTCAATAGTCAGCGTTCAAATTAGTTTTCTCTGAATTATAATAAAAAATAATGAACAATTGAGCTGCATAGTTTGGGCCCTTTTTGTTAATTTTTTTTAAATAATGTCAAATTATATTGTAATTTATAATAATAAAAATAAGTTAATATTTTATAATATTTTACTGCATTAGCTGAGAAAGAATATCATATCACGTAAGAAAAATGGACTGTAACTGAAATATACCATAATTAATCAAATTACAATCTGAAATCAAATCAACAGCTTGTGAATTTGAATCAAATTGAATGTTTATTGATATCCAACCCTACTGACTATATCAAATGATTTGATTACAATTTTTAGTGATAGCCAGAATCTACATCCTTTTATACATTGAATGACGAAACACTTACTTTTCATTTCAGCTTTTCATGCAGTGCACACCTTGGTCCTCATGGCCATTTTTGGGTGTTTTGTGAAGGCCATTTGAATCCATGCTTAG